TTCCTTGCTCCCACTCAGAATGCATTTTGACATTAAACCAAACCCCTCAGTACTTGGATAAGATCTAGAATATAAAGAGGCTTGAAAAACAGAATCAACTCTCTTGTGATTTAGTACCAGCCTTAAAACGCTAGTAAATGATAACCATAGTCTGAAAATTAAGATTGCCAGATCATTTTAGGTACCATTTTTTTGGCTAATGGCAGTATGTTTGTCCTAAATTTGTGCCTGTTTCTTATAAAGAGAGAATTAGTTTATTAGTTAGGGAACAAAAGTATAAAACATGCAACAGAAGAAATTATATATATATATAAATGATAAGAACAAATACTTGATACAAAAATTTCAACTTCTTCCCAGGAAATTCCAGGATATTTTATGAATGACTTTGCAATCACTTCATCCACCTTGAAGAAGGGACCTTCTCCAGTGTGAAAGGCAGTAGCCTCTTTGTATTTCAAAATCACCCCACTGCCTATTAGGGCAAGAGGTGAAAAATACCTTAAAGTCTGGGGAAGACTGGAATAAGAAAGAAGGTAATTTTCATGGATATAGAATATGGAATGAGCAGAGTTGACATCTCCACTTATATAAGAAGTGCTATGAGATCACTGATGACTGGGAGGGGCAGGACCTCTGCTAATCCTCATCTGAAAGACGTCAAGCAGAGTACATTTTCCCATGATACCATTCTGACATTTGGGGTCAATCCTTTCTCCAAGTGAAAAAAAGTCACTTGCATAAATGCGACTTCAGTAGCACCTTGACAGTCCCTGGAAATCACCCAAATGAGTGCCAATTAAATGTGGTGAAGTCACCTTGTTAGACATTTATGGTGCAGGGCTGCTCCAAGATGTCTTTGTGGTGGGGTGCACTACTCATAGTTGAGTGCTGGTGAGAAGTATGTGAGTGATGCTCCCATCACAGAACAAGCAGCATGGTCTAAGAACATGGCTTCTGAGACAAACACAGTCTGGCTTTATTCTCAACCTGTCATTTTGGAAGTTGAGTTACTTAGCTTTTTTGAGTCTTGGTTTCCTCATCTATGAAATGGGGATGATCATACCTTCCTCATACAGTTTTTGCAAGGATTAAATGAGATAGGGCTGTTTTAAATACCTGATGATTATTATGTGGGTTTTTTTTTTTTTTTTTTGCTTCCTCTATCTCTCCCATCCTATCCCCCATTAACATCTCATACCAAACTCTGGGTTTTTTTTTTAGGACTTGCCTTTGAAAATTGTGCATGATCACTGACGCTATTTTTCCCCCATGGATTTTGCACATCAGTAAGGAAAATGAAAGTGAAATCATTTCTCAGTTTCCTTCACACTAATGTTCAGTTATCCAGAGGGTGTCATATCACCAAATGTCAGTAAAAATAATAATATGTAATGCATAATATATAGTATGTAATATATAATATATGATTTCATCTATCTATCTCCTGGCTTTTTAATGATAGCAAATTTGTCAGCTTCATTTTTTAACTGCATTTTCCAAATGTCCAAAATATCATCTTTTGCTCCTCTTCTGAAGAAATCATCTCCTCTCCATGTGACTATGAAATTTTTAAAAGGACCATACCTCCCCCCCCACCCCGCCCAAATCATACTCCTTTCTATGTGCTATTCTACAGAATAAGAATTCCCAGGGGTTACTTTCAAAACTTACACGTGCTGATGAATCTCATTAAACATGTTCTCCTTCCTCTAGAAAGATATCTACATCTATGGTGATAATCTTCAGATAACATTTATAAGATAGGAAGCATTTATATAAAATTGACCTCTGGAGAATTGGGTCCCTACGTTCCCCATTCCTCTCTTAGATGAGGCTGTTATAAGACCACATCAGAGGTACCACACATGGCCTCATGGGTCACTGCAAGGCCTTGGCTTTTTCTCTGAGGGAAATGGGAAGTGAGTGGTGAGTTTTGAGCACATGAGAGACCTAATCTGACTTAGTTGTGCTGATGGCGCTTTCATCACTGTATCTGAATAGATTGTAGTAGAGCAAAGGCAGAAAAGAGAGGAGAGCAGTTGAGAAGGAGATGGTGGTGATTTGGACCAGGAGGGTAGCAGGAGAGATGGTGATATGTCCAGATTCTGGTCACATTTTGAAAGTCGAACCGAAAAGCTGTCCCAGTAGGCTGGAAGTGTAGTGTGAGATGAAGAAAGCAGTCAAGGATGATTATAAGGTTCTTAGCCTGAGCAAATGGATAGATGGAGTTGCCATCAGCTGAGAGAGGGAAGGGTGTCAGAACAGCTGGTTCAGGGTGGTAGATGAGGGCTCTAGTTTGAGACATGTTAAGCTTGAGCTGTCTATTAGACATCCAAGTGGAGAAGGTAAACAGGCAATTAGATATGCAATTCTGGACTACAGGAGAGAGGTCTGGTCTGGTGATAGAAGACCCTTAATATGTGCCCCTTAATATTTGTAAGAGGCTTAGAGCAATATCAGATTCCTAGTAAGAAAGTAAGCAACGGTCATCATTAATATAATTCCTTTAACCATGTCATTCAAATTGTCCAATATAACTACTGCCTACTATATGTATTTATACTCTGAACTAACAATTAAAGAAATGTACACAGTAATCCTTTCTTACTTTTCAGGTTTATCACTGCCTTGTCCCCATGCTACCCTTTGATGGGAAATTCCCCATTTTTCAAGTGCATTTTGTGGGGAGGGCATTAAAGTTCAAAATAAAGATTAAAACAACACTATGTGTGCTATAGTCAGTATAATTCTGGACAATGTCCTCTGAGCACAAAATGTTTGGCAGTAGGAGAAGTCATATAGAATGATGGTTAAGATAGCTGATTCTAGCATTGAAATTAACTCATATTCTAACACATCACTTTGAATAAGTTTCTAATGTCTCACTTCTCCAATTCTCCATCTGTAAAATTGAGATCAGTGGAATTATGGAGAATATTAAATGGGGTAATAGATATAAAGTGCTTAGCACAATACCAGATACAAGTAAGTTCTTATAATTTTCAGCTATTATGATGATAAGCAACTTTACTTTGTGTTTTCAGTTGTAACTAAGACTAAAATCTCTCCTATGACTTTTCATTTACCATAGACTTTTCATTGAATACCTATTTCAATATATCACTTAAAACTTACAAGACTTAGTCTCAAGGCATTAGGCCAAAGGAAAGAAAAAGACATTAAGAGCAGAAATAGGAGTCTGATCCAACATGTTATTGGCACCTTCATCCCCAGCTTATCTCCCCACCCACCCCCAGCACCTTGCCCATATTGGTAATTAAACTGAAGGAACGGACTCAAAAGAAACACACTAAATTTCCCTCTTCCCTCTTATGTTATTTTAATTGTGTATATTTTGTTTTTAAGCATGGTTCTTTGGGGGAAAACACAATGTGTCTACTATAGAAAAACACATATTCTTTTAGGCAAGTAATTTTAGAAGCAAAAGACGGTCTCCAGGGTAAGAAGATGGAAAAGGAGTGGTATTAGCAGAAGATGGCACAGAACGAATGCACATTTTATAGTGTAAAAGAAAGATATTTTAGCCTCCCTGACTAAAACAACACTGTGCACTATCAGTTATGCTGAATTGTTGAATAGAATAAAACAGAACCAGCTACAATATGACTGCTTAGAGTGAAAGTCAATAGTCGACTCCTAGGGAGCATCTCGCACTCATGACACACAGAGGCTTAATTGGTCCTCCTATGGTTTGGAAGAAAGGCCTTGAAAATACTTCTGACTTTTTTGAAGCAAATTTATAGACATATAACAGTGCTTTAATCCTTGCATCCTGGAATTGCCAAGGTAATAGAATATCAGTGGATAAAAGCCTAGTAAGACAATGATCATCTGATATTCCAACTCTGTGCCAGGCCAATTTGGGATTTCAATCATTTCCATTCTCTGCACCCTGAACTCCCTTCACACAATGTCTAAAGGGTTTATTTTTCCTTCACATTTTTTTCCATATTGTCTCCTGATTTCTTTCTTTCTCTCTCTTTCTTCCTTCCTCTTTCTTCCTTCCTCTCTTTCTTTCTTCCTTCCTCTTTCTTTCTTTCTTTCTTTCTTTCTTTCTTTCTTTCTTTCTTTCTTTCTTTCTTTCTTTCTTTCTTTCTTTCTTTCTTTCTTTCTTTCTTCTTTCTCCTCTATGTGTCTGAATCTCTACCATGGTATTTTTGGGGTTAACTTCATGCATCCCTTTTTACTTGTTATGTTCTAAATTTCTTGAGATCATCTACTCTTGCTCTGGACTCTGCTTCACTCTCTGTAGCTGGTGCTTCTCTTATACACCTCTCTTTTCCTGTTCATTTACATAGTCTTACATCATAAAACAGTGCTATTCTTACTATGATCTCTAAAGAAATGAGAAGACATCCATAAAAATTATCATGAAATGATAAATTCTATTTAAAAACTAGGCATGCCAGAACACAAATATCTGTAGGAGTGTTGCCCCTTTTTGAAAAGTTGCAGTGATATTCACAAATGATGATATATCCCAAAATGACATTGGAATTAATTTTGGAACCACTTTACGATCTTCACAAGAAAATCACCATATTACCTTACCTTAGCTTCATATTTTACCCAGATTAGTATTACTCACCTAATTCACCAGACTGATGCCAAATTCCCTTTGATAGCTTCCAGAGTTCATAGCCTTCCCACTTCTATGAAGGATTTTCAAAAGGAGCATATCCTGAAGACAAGTCTGAAGGAGAATTACAAAATTGTTTTTGAGTAATGGAAGCATAATTAAAACGTCTTAGTTCCCAAGTACTTTAGAAGGGAAAACTCCCTTTTAGGTAAGGGTAAATTCCCTTATTTCTGGTAATGCATTGCATTTACTATTTTATAGTTACATCATAAGAGCCAACTCAAAAGTTCTGTTACTTTAATTATGTTTCAGGACACAGTGCACTTAGAACTTTTAATCTGTATATATGGAAGATACACTCTTGATAATAACAGTGTGTCTGTCTTATTGTCTCTAGGACTATACTTGATAAAAAGGAACTACTAGAGTTTGCTCAACTTGGCTGTTACTTGGAATATGATCTCTTTGGGACCGAACTCCTTCATTACCAATTCAACCCGGATATCGACATGCCCAGTGATAATAAAAGAATTAGAAGGTAAATATGATGAAATCTCTGAGAGCATTCCCTTTTACCAGCCCTTTTTGATTCATATCTAGGCGGGTATTAGCAAAGATTCAGAACACAGTATGCAGGCGGAACCAGAGACTTTCAGAAAAAAAGTATCAGTGCTGTTGCAGGCAGAAAATCTCTATATATTATTTCAAGAAGCAAATGAGTCATCCTAAGTAGGCAAAAGCTTAGCAGAGCCTTAGAAGTTCAGTGCAGATGGGCAGCTGACAAGAAACAGATAATACTTAACCCCTGCCATGACAATAAGAGAACAAAGATGTTTTCCTCTTTTTATCCTTAATCAAGTAAACTGTTTCTTTCCCATGTTGCCCACACTGAAGCCCTCACCTCCTACAATGAATTTCTGAAATGCTTTATAAAAAATATTCACTACGGAGATGATTGAAACTTAAATGCTATAAGTCGAATGTCTAAAGATGAAACATCATAGAAGATCTAACCCCTCAAAACTGTCTAAGCGAGTAATTGTACGAGTCATTCTCTGCAACCAAGTGGAAAATTTTTGGAGTCAAGGGTGGATGGCTACCAGTTTGTCTTGGTTACGTGGTGATATGAACCCTGAATGCACCAAGTTAGGGAATCTGGGAGGAGAAACAGATTTGGGATTCACAAGGATGCCTGGCTTGGGAGCATCTAAGAGTTGCTATCCAGTAAAGCCACGGATAAGGGCATGAAGCTCAGGGCAGAGATCTGGACTCAGACATAAATGTGGGCATCTGCAGTCTGTATGTCATGGTTGGCAGCATGGGAATGAATGAGATCACTCAGAGAAGAGAATGAGGACAGAACCCTGGGGAACACTGATATTTAAGGAATGGACTCAGGAAGAGTCACTCAAGGACAGATTGAAAAGTTTTCAAAGTGAGAAGAATATCAGGGAAATGTGTTGTGGTGGGAGTCGGTGTGGGAGAATGCTTAAAGCAGAAGGGCTTGGACACCTGAGAGGTGGCAGGCATCAAGTGAGGTAAAGGCTGAAAGTGTCCACTGGATTTCATAGGCTGGAGATTCTCTTGCACAGTCAGGAAGTACAGTCTCCATAGACAAGGCTTGAGGAGTAAGGAGGGGGTAAGGAAGAGGAGAGAGAATGTGGAGGGTACTCTTTCAAGAAGCTTGGTAGTAAAGGGAAGCAGGGGTGTAGGGCCAAAGCAAGAAGCCACGGCAGGATCAAGGGAAGGTTTTGTTAAGAGTTGAGCAATGTTTATGTGCCTGAGAGCAAAAGCAGAGAGACAGAGACAGAGGCAGAGACAAATCCCGGGAAGCAGTACTCATTCTACAGCGCTGTTATGGAATGTATATGAAATAAAGTATGCAGAGTTTTTATGTGAGTATCTGGTGCAGAATATGAAAATAGTCAATCGATGCTAACTTAAAGCAATCTGCAGAGAGGAGCTACAGAGCAAGGCTTTAAGGAGACAAACAGATGGAATCTGGGAAGCAAACAGAAAGTCGGTTGAAAGGGTAAGGCAAGCAATGGGGTGAATGCAGAGAGATGTCGTGGCAAGAACAGGAAACTGAGGACATATGGCCACCCATGTTCGGTAGTGTCCCTGTGAAGTAGACTTGGTTATCTTCTGAGAAGGAAGGAACAGATTCAGGGCAGGACCTCATAGAAGAGGAGGGAGGCTGGGAATGGATGCTGAGGGAATGTGAGAGACACTGATGGGACGTGTCGTGTATGAGACCCACGTGAGGCTCAAGGTCATGGCTGCATGACTGCACAGTGGCACCAATGCACATGATGTGGTGATTATTTCCACCCAAAATGTTGTGTATTTTGGCAGTAAGACCAAGGAAGCTTTGAGGAGAAGCAGAAAATGTCAACAGAGAGAGGGTTGGGATTCTGTCTTTGAAAACATGGCTGACAACTGGGGAAACAGGGGTGGGGTTGAGTGAGGGTCATGAGGTCTAAGATGGAGGAAAGAAGGTATAGAGAAAAATGGGAAGATAAAGGAATAATATAGCAGAGGTGAATAACTGGAAGCTTGAGTGAAGTGGGAGAATGTACACAGAAGGAGGTGAGTGAAAAGGTAGAAGGATGTAACTTGGGGTCAGAGTGGGCAACTGAAGATCGAGATTTCAGAGAGGAAGTAGTCTTCCGTGATGACAAGGCCCAGAAAGTGGTTATGGGTGTAGAAAACCATTTGGAATACAAGTAAAGAAAACTGACCTACAGAAGGGATGTCCAGAAACTGAGGCTCAAGCAGCCATAGTAGGACACATACACACTTGGGAGTTGAGGGAAAGATCTAGAGCCGGTGGCCACAGTTGGGACAGCCCTCAGCTCTTACCCTGGGCAGCCAACCTTTACATCTGTGTGCCTTCTGCTGTCCCTGTGTATGGTCACTCCTCCTTGATGGTTCGAGTTTAATATCCTCAGGGAGAGCTAGCGGATCCATGTAACTCTAGCTATGTCAATATGGAGATGCTCAGCCGTATGTGAGCAAACTGATCTGACCAGTGAAGCTAGGTCTTTTAAAAATTTTTTTACACCACTGAAATCAATTCTTTGATACACTGATTTATTGTTTCTTTTTTGTTTGTTCATTTTGTGTTATGATTTTAACTTACGTGCCCTAGGAGCACCATTCAGTAGAGGCAAACACGTGTCCCTATGGCCCCTGTGCCATACTCAGAGGTGAATATTCTCTGGAATTTAAAGTCGGTGGTTTGGTAGGGCTTTCTCATCTTTCATGATCTCAAAACCATGGTTTCCTGAGGAATGCCCTCAATACACGTTTTATAACTCATCTTAGAAATAAGAAGTTTGCTTTTAGGACCTGCTTCCTTTTCCTAAGCCCCTTTGTGGCAGTGAGCTGTATCTTTTGTATCTTTAGAAGGAATCCTATGCCATCCATGAGGCTCCTGGACCTTGAATAAGAGAGAGGGGCTCTGCAGAGGGCTCTGGGAAGGAAATATGGGGGGGAGGGACAACTGACACCTCATCTCATATTCCTTCTTAGCAACTTTTGCCTATTAATTCAAGAACAAGAATTTCATTCTGTCAGCTTTCCTTGAACCAATGTAAACATTCCAGATGTATTTCTATACATCAAAATATATATGTAATATATGTGTGTTTATGTATGTCTATGTATGTATATATACTTAACTGTCCTTAAATGAAAATCATGCATTAGGTCCCTTGACTTAAGTCCAGCTCACGGTAATTACTGAATGACCTTTCAGGAGGGGGTGTGCTCTGGTACCCCCCTGCCCTCCCTCCTTTGGGCACCTGATTTTCATCATCCATTGGCAGTCCTTTTCTGAGCCTTAGTCATCTTACAGCTCTGAACTGCAAGAACATAGAAGCACGCTTCTGCCTACCTCTGGTTTTCAGCACCAGAAATTCTGTGTCTAACACCTGTTTTCAATCTTATGCTCCATTTCTCAAATCTTATTATATCTCTGCCTTTTCACACTTTGTAGTCTCTCTCTAATATTTGTTTGCAAAACACGAACTCATTTGTATTTCTATAATTACTGTCATATTTGTCTTTTCATCTACAGTGGTTCCTTCCTTCTGCCGGCATCTCTGGAACTACTGTTCTTCCATACAATGGCAGGGCACGAGAGAGGAGCTTTTATTCTAAGAGTGGCCAAGCTAGGGCGCCTGGGTGGCTCAGTCGGTTGGGTGTCTGCCTTCGGCTCAAGTCATGATCGCGCAGTCCTGGGATCCATATCCCATATCGGGCTCCCTGCTCAACAGGAGTCTGCTTCTCCCTCTCCCTCTGCCCGTCCCCTCTGCTCATGCTCTCTCTCTCTCTCAAATAAATAAATCTTAAAAAAAAAAAAAAAACTCTTTAAAAAAAAAAAGAGTGGCCAAGTTATATCTTGATAGTCAGGAGATAATTATGTTTGCAGCCATGGCAGTATCTTTCTCATGAGAGAACTAGTCTCCACATGCTCAACTTAATGAGTTCTAAGGGTTCTCCTTTTTCAATGAGTATCTTATCCATTATACTCTTTCCTTACTACTTCACAATTCGATAACTTTGGGTTTCAGGGTATGGCACGAGGTCACATATGGGAATTTGTTTATCCATCTGTAATAACATGACATCATTTTTTTTTTTTTTTACTCAGACAAGGAAAAGAGACAAAAACTTTGGGAAATGCTCAGAAAATATAAGGGGGGGAGGTGTACCCTAAAATTTCTGGGAATGTGATACTCCTTTTCATTTGGTGATCAAGGTTTGTTAAACTAAGTTCCAGCAATGCATATGCATTCTGTCAAATCTTCCTCTTTTTTCATAAATGATGACATAACTCACTTAGAGCATTCCCTTAAGGAGAGTCTGTTCCAAAAGTAACGTCAGATCAGAGCTTTTGGACACTATACAAATTTTAAAGAGGTAAATATCCATGGTGGCACAAACAGAAGTCCAAGTACTTACAGGACACATGTGGGTACATGTGACATGAACACAGATTTCTAGACAAAAAGGCTCAGGGTGGCTTTTCTCTGGCACTTGCTTTCCTTTGATCTACAAACACAAGATCTCATCTTCAATTATAATTTTATTTTAAAATGTGTGTTCTCGGACGGCAAGGCTTTGTGCTTGAGGTTTTTGTGCGGTGGCCCACAATGTGCTTATTTTAGTCATTATTAAATATGACTCATGCACTGGATGGCAAGAAATGTCACAGAAGCAAAAAGGATACCTTTTAAATAATTAGCCCTTGGAAGAAGGTGCTGTCCAACCATCTAGATTCATTTGGGAATCCAGAGACTGACAAGACTGTGTAGAGAATGCCAGAGAAAAGCATTGTCTCCAAGTTGCACCTCCTGCCATCAGCGACTGGTGGAAGTCACGACAGACAGTGCCCAGAGTCCAGACACACACAGATGGTAGCTGTCAGGAGGTGACTCACACTATAGATTACAACATTTAACAAAGCAAAGAGGATTAGATGTTTAGGCTGAAGTTGGAAAGCCATTCTGTAGGCAACTGGCTATAAATTTAAAGGAACAGCTCAATATTTATAACAATCTTGTTGAGATAGAAGGAAGATAGAGTCGATTGTTGTTGGTTGATTTAATCCAATGCTCCAAGACGACTCCTAAGTCAAAATTCCCATAGACTTCGAAGGGACCAGTGCTCAAAATACAGAGGTACCTTTGCTGACCTTTTTAAAATGACCATCTAGCTGATCATATGCCCTTCACTTTCAAACCAACAGATTTTACTCTCAGAATGTTTTACTTGTACAAAGATTCCTTTTGCTTCCCTATTTTAATCACAAATTGCCATTCATTGTATTTGCTAGAAGAAAGGAAAGAGAGAGAGACAGAGAAAGACAGAGAGAGAGAGAGAGAATGGGATCTGGAAAATGGGTCCACTAGGAGAGGTATTTTAGAGCAGAGAGCTGGATACAAATCCAGAACAAAGTTACTTTGGGAAATGCCAAAGCGGCTGTTCATTCAGACTGCCTATTAGAAGCTGTTTTTAATGCAGCATTGCAGGCATTGTCATAAATACCACAGGCTAGAAATTTCTGTGTGCATGGAATAAGGATCAGGTTCCTACTAGGATGCAATACTATCTTTATCATCACCACGCAATATTAAGGGCCTCCCACTACACGTGCCATAGCGGAAGGCAGTATGAGTAAAACGTTTAAAATGCCCTGATAATTTTAAATGTGAGACCAATGCCATATAATGAGTCAACATTTTTCACAGAGTGCGTCTTCTGGTGGATGAGGGCTATGAAGATCGAATTCTGATGGCGCACGACATACATACAAAGCATCGGCTAATGAAATATGGAGGTCACGGCTATTCTCATATACTTACCAACATTGTTCCTAAAATGTTGCTTAGAGGTATCACTGAGAGTGCACTTGATAAGATACTAATAGAGAACCCTAAGCGATGGCTAACTTTCAAATAGGATGGTTGTTTATGAATTCACACCTTGAGCCTAAAGCTTGCAAAGAACATTTTCCAGTGATTTCAAACCCACTGTGAGATATTAATCAGACCTCTCTGTAGGACTAATGGTGGGTTATTTCCTTTTTATGAGAATTAGAAGAGTTTTGCCTTCTCAGAAACCACTATTACCTCTGTACCTTTAGGAAATTACTGACCTAATTGAGCCCTATTGTTTTGCCTTCACAAAATAAATACAGAAATATCTATTTCCAAACAGTGATTTACAGTCTGTATCCCCTTAGTGGAGTTTTGTTTTGTTTTGTTTTCTTAACCTATCAGCTGCACTACTTGAGAAAATTTAAAGTGTTTCTAGTTAAATTACCCCCTTCTGGAGCAATCTAATGTTTCTTGTAATATTGATGATCCTACTAATTATCCTGCTGTTCTTTAATTAATGCTTAATGAATAATACGGTACTTTAAAATAGCTTCAGCAGCAAGGGAAGTTAAATTTTGAGGCTTTTTTTTCCCCCAAAGGATACTGTAATACAATTACCAATTCACAATGGTAAAAAGATTGTGTAAGCTTAATTATATGCTGTCTACTTTATCTATATTTACTGATAATAAATCAGTTTTGTTGCCTGTGGCTTCCCAGTATCCATTTTTGCTGTAAAACTTTGTTGTTTTAAAAAATTTGTATAAGGGAGCATGAACACATAATAGTAATTTATAAAAATTCAATCATAAAAGTCAAAATATATTACATAATATAGTTTAATGAATCATTACATTTATAATAACAAAGGCCACAGTTTAATTAATAATATATAATGCAAAAAAAGAGAAATGTTTGCCTTATCTATATTCCCTTTATTTCCTTTACCTTTTGTTTTTCCTTGGGCCTAAACAGAGAAAATAATGCTTAGTTATCTGAAGAAAAGGTCAGATCTATTAGAAATGACATTCTGATTCTAGAGCCTACTCTTCAAAAGGTACCCTGCCCTGATGTTTGGTGTAAATAAAGCCTTTCTGAAACCCATAGAAGATGTGCACTGCTGTTTACAAATTAATTTTTTGGTTGATTCCTCATTATGCTATTTGTTACCTCCCCCCCCAAAAAATCTCCAAACCCTTGCTACCAATTCGTCTTTGATAAGTATATATTGTTAAACAGAAATAAATCCATTGCAACTCCTTTATGAGTTATCCAACATATTAGAAAGGCCAAACAGAATTAGTCACTATCCTTGATGAAAGGGCTAAGTGTTTTTAATCATAAAAATCATGACAGTTACTCAGACCAAGGCATTTAAACCAAGCCAACAGCACCTTCAGATGGGAACACCATGCGACACTCTTTTGGAAAGTTAGGGTCTTCTAAATACAAGATATTTCCGTGGATCAAAGATGATCAAGCTTTCTGTGTATTAGAACACAAAGTACCCAAGAGGAACAAGCCAGGAGAACAAACTAATTCCTTTAAATGAAAAAATGCAAATGTCCTTCACCAGTAAAACAAGCAGATTTTTAAATCCCCATTTTTCAAATCTACTTGTTCAAAGAGTCTTCAAAGGCAACTGAGAGGGGGGACAGATTTTTCATTGTAATAGTGGAAGTTGTCTCATAGTTAGGATCTATCAACATGCATTTTTAATCCTTTTCTTAGATTAAAGAGATGGCTTTTGGCAGTGTATTTTAACCAGAGGGAAATGATTTGCACTACTCTCAGCATCTACTTTCCTGTCAGCTTTAATCCACCTGAGAAAAAAGAAAAAAATGGATAATTCAAATGCATATAATTCATAAACATTGCAAAAGAGAGCCACTTTGTTTCTGCAGTCCTAATATTAACAGTCTGCCACAGAATGCAGTGCAAGTATTGATTGGCATATGGTAATAAAGAAGCCACAGGCTTAATTTAGAGACCTGTGATGTATAGGGCATTTTAACCTAATAAAATTTAATTTTCTGCGTAACTCTTAAAAGAGAAGTCACTTAAATTATCTTGCTATTCCATATACTTTTGTAATCCAAAATATATTTCCAAAATAAGTCAAATAATTTATGCGTGTTTGTATGTATCCAAAATAAGTCAAATAATTTGTGCGTGTTTGTGTGTATATATACACATACTTTTTTTTTAATTAAATTTTTGAGGCTCTACAGCCACTGTGCCTATGGTCTGAAGCCATGTCTATATTATATTTGATTTAACATAGGTGTGTGTGTGTGTGCACACAAATACACGTATATGTAGCAGGTATTTGTATAAAATATATACACTTTGTTGTCTTATTGGTTATATGTGAAATTGTTCATTTTGAAATAACCTCGGGCCACAACTCATAGTAACTATTTGAAGGCCTTACTTAGGGTCCCCTTGGTGACTCATGCAGTAGCTCAAATTAAACCATTGTGCATTGGGTTATGAATAATCTTTTGTTCCAAAGAAGGCAAAAGCCTCAGTCTGATTTAACACCAAAGAATAAATTTCTCTGACTTTCTAAGTAAATCTAAATACATTCTATTGACAAAATGGACACAAGGGGGTTTTCTAAATACCATACATAATTACACATTTTCACACTTAGAGGGTAATCCTATGATACAATTTCGATCTCTACTTTTAAAAGACTATCACCAGAAAAGAGAGAAAAGAAAACTCGTAAGAAAAAGAAAATGTGAAAATGATCATAGGCTTGGGAATTCCCTCAAATCCAGAAAATTCCAGGTTAAGGCTTGAAGTTGAATCATTCCCAGGACTAGCTCTAAAGTTAACAAAAGTACAAGGCAAACAATTTCTTTGGGGACAAGCAGCATTATTTCAATCAGACCTTCTCCTGCAGGGTAAAATCATCCTCCCCACACTATGAATGGACTCCAAGTATCATAATAAGCAGGTGAACTCACAAGAACCAAAGCTGACATATGGATAAAAGCAGCAAGATCACAGTACACCAAAGTATCATATATACTGGAGAAATAATTCAGTGTCTTAGATTTTTCTATAAAAATTTGTGATCTATATAGGACTTCATTCACATGGACACTAACGATAAGGAGGAGTATTTGCTTTGGTGGTAGTGAATAACACATCTGCTTATCTTGCTTTTAATTTTTTTTTTTTTTTTTTTACATAATGTTTCTGAGTATACAGATGTGAGTCAGGTAGCATTTGAATTCCCCACATATACACAATCGAGGTGCCCCGCAACCGGCATCCCCTGGGATCCTTGAGTCACTGACGTTAGCCATCCGAATCCAGTGTCCAAACTCAGAATAATAAGCTTAGTTTCTGCGTTATCAGTCAGCGTAAATAATAAATCCAGAAAACGTGCTGTATTTGTTGTTATTCCCTCCGTGGGCTTTCCCGCCATCTAATTTGATGTACACTTCGTCTCCCGGCTCCAAATGAAGAACAACGCTGTTGCTGGCGTAGTCGTAATTCTGATCAGCGTCCTGGGCGATGGCGCTGGCTCGCACCTGTGTGAAACAAACAAGAATTAGGACCTGTAGGAGCAACTCCCGGGTTGTCCTTGCTGCCATTCACACAGCATCAGAAGCCGCCCTGGGCCGTGGCACAGAACTCGGCATGGGCGTTGGAGCCCCGGGAGGGTATCTTTCTAAGAGTCCCAACCGCGTTGCTGGAAAGGAGGAGCAGAAAGATTGCAAGGTGCTATGGCGAGGGTGGGTCCAGCAGCCTTCTCCTACTGTGTGCGGTAAACAGCGCGCACCACGCTCTCCCCTTCCTAAATCAGCACTTCTTCTCATTCCTTGACTCTCTAGGCCCGATCACTTCTTGAAATGGAAATAAGGGCACTTTTTGTGCATTTCAATTTAAGCCAATTAGCAATATTCTAAGCAGCTGTTTACGAGGACAGGGGTTCAATCCGAACTTCAGCTGGTCCCCACGCTTATTAGAAAATGGAGATCCTTGGCAGTTGAGACTCAGAGAAATAACACGACTCCGGCTCTACTATATAGGGAGAAAAAGAAAAAGAAGAATGCCTTTTGATTTGGGGCTTTCAAAATCTAATCCAGGTAAAGCCTTTTTTTTTTTTTTTTTTTTTTTTTTTGCCAGAAACCCCCGTTTAAAATGTCACCTAAGTTTGCAGGGTTCATTTTGTTATTTGTGCCTTTTTATTACTTACCTGTGATGTGTACACTTAAATAAATTATTTAATTTTGACATGTCTAAAAGTTATAGTAGGAACTAAGCTTTGAGGCCTCTAAAATTTCTAAAATTTTTTAATGATGTGATTGAATACCCTTTTCCCTTTAGGTGATTCTGAAAATGTGTGGTTTGCTTTGAGGATGGAAGTTGCCTATAATCCACTTGTGTTGAGCCTGTGATCTCATTAGTGGGTTGACAGACATTTGCAAACAGTCAATTTACCTATCATTTCAAGTAATATGGACATTCTGTCACATCCTCAACTCAAATTAGGCTTCAGATTCATTTAGCTATATTTTGATTCTGCCTTGGAAAAAAAATTTCAGTAGGCACACTTGTATTTGATTTATCTCAGTAAAACACCTTCTACTCTGTGGCTTGTTCCTATTCCACTATATCGGTATTTCCCCAAATAACATAGCAAGTGATTTAGTGATTTTGTAAACCTGCATTATGTAATAATGCATGGCTTGGGGTACAATATGCTGGATTTTATCACTTGGCAAAATGAGGGAAATGAGACATAAGTCAAGAATTTCCATGCATTTCTTTCAAAACTTAAATGATAGGTTTTCAAATTAAATTTTCATGTGGTATGCTCTCACATTAATGCTGAAATGTTAAAAAAGGAGAAGGCTCTTTGACACTGCTGAACTTGTAAAGTAATTTGAGTAGTATTGTAAAATTTTCTTTCTGGATATCGTATAGCAAAAGGAGAAAGGGGCTTAAAGGATTTAGAATTAATACAGTGAATGCAATGTACCATGCAATTAGGCTCCGAAACCCTGACTCAAATGTATACACCAGTTCAATGAGGTGATCTGTTTGGACCATTAAGTAATAATACAATTTAATGATATAATATTTCCTAGAAATTAATCATAAGTTTGTAGGAGTTGAGTGCTTTGATTCATTAATTTCATCTAGTCATTAATTCCCTGGGGAAAAAAATCTACAAGGAGGATAGCGTTGTTACGACCTCATCTTTTTTTTTTTTTAAACACGTGGACTTTTAATGGGTGAGAAAAATTAGAATACAAATTAGTAATTAGCTATGTCAGTAATATATTAATTAATTAGCAATGCATAAATATGCTT